CACATGACTTCAATCCTAGCACTAGGGAGGCAGAGGCAGGCGGATCTCTGTTAGTTCCAGGACAACCAAGGCTACATAGGAAAAAAAAATAAACCAAAAAAATATAAATCTTAAAAAATAGGGCTGGAGAGATGGCTCAGAGGTTAAGAGCACTGACTGTTCTTCCAGAGGTCCTGAGTTCAATTCCCAGCAACCACATGGTGGCTCACAACCATCTGTAATGAGATCTGGTGCCCTCTTCTGGCCTGTAGTCATACATGCTATATACATAATAAATAAATAAATCTTAAAAAAAAAAAAAAACTATAATCACTTAGACACTGACTCATTTAACTTAAAACTCTGTCATTCCTCGGAGTCTTCTGTAGTCTTATCTGTTAGCGCAGAAGTACTTACTATGTGTTCTTTGGCTGACTTTGCATGCTGTCATTTATCTACTTTTGGAGGTGAGGGACAGAGTCTCACTGTGTAGCCCTGGCTGGCCTGGTAATTGATATGTGGCTCTGGCTGTCCTCAAGCTTGCAGAAATCTTTGCCTCAGTATCCGTATTTCTGGTACAGCAGGACTACCCCACCACCCCCCACCACCCCGGCTACTTACGATCTTTGACCTGAACTTTCCCCTTTCTCAAATAGCAGCTGTGATAGTATTTCCCCTACCTGTCCGTCCAAGAAGATTCACATTTTTTCTAATTGCTGGTTGTCCCCCATATTCAGTAGCATCTTGTTCTCGGGGCATCCATATGCCCAGAGAACACCCAGAATATAATGTTCCTAAAAGGCTGTTTCTTCCATGAACAGAAGAGAAAGCTGGAAGCTGGTTGCATTTGCAAGCCATCAGTTAATTTGGCTTTTCTGGTTCTGTCAATTCTACGTCAGGCAGAGTCTCTGGACACCATTCCTCTAACAACAGCCTGGCCAGTTGGTTCTCTCCACCTTCAGAAGCCTGTCCTGCTTTTTTCTCTGTATACTGAGTCATTGCCATCAGCAAATACAAGGGTTTTGTGTGAGTGTGTGTGGTGTTGAGGGCTGTTCAGAGTCTCATTAGGTAGCCCAGGATGGGTTGGAGCTCACTCAGCAGCCTAGGCTTGCCTCAAACTCATGGTGACCCTCCTGTCTCAGCCTCCTCAGTACTGAAATTGCAATTACAAGTATAAGCTGCTCAGCTCATTTTTTTTTTTAAAGATAGGGTCTTAGGCGGGCATTGGTGGCACATGCCTTTAATCCCTGCACTCGGGAGGCAGAGGCAGGTGGATCTCTGTGAGTTCGAGGCCAGCCTGGTCTACAAAGCAAGTTCCAAGAAAGGCACAAAGCTACACAGAGAGACCCTGTCTCGAAAAACCATTAAAAAAAAAAAAAAAGATAGGGTCTTGCTGGGCAGTGGTGGCACATGCTTTTAATCCCAGCACTTGGGAGGGAGAGGAGGCAGATCTCTATGAGTTTGAGGCCAGCTTGGTCTACAGGGAAAGTTCTAGGACAGCCAGGGCTGTTAAACAGAGAAACCCTGTCTTTAAAAAAACAAGCAAGGACAACAACAACTTAGATGATAGATAGATAGATAGATAGATAGATAGATAGATAGATAGATAGATCTTGAACTTTCTTTGTAGCTGAACACGATGCTGAAATTCTGATTCTCCTGAGTGCTGGGATTAGAGGTATGTTCCTATGTGGTGCTGGAATCTAACCCAGGGTTTTGTGCTTTATAGACAAATACTCTACCAAATGAGCCACATCCCCAGGCCGTAGGTTTGTGGGTTTTCAGGGAGGGGGCTGTTTTTCCCTCCTTTTTTTGCAGAGGGTTCCACTCACTATGTCGTCCAGGATTCCCTTGAACTCATAGAAATCGTGCTGTCTTAGATCCCCAAGTGCAGGAATTAGAAATGTGCACCAGCCACCACACCTAGCTCCGCTCCAGCTCCAACTGCATCTCCCTTCTTTCTCTTAAATACATTTCGAGATTCATTCAGGCTTTCACCAAAGCACAGTGCTGATGTACCGCAACTTCCTGTCAGACTACACACACAGATGAAGGGCTCAGGACCTCTATCTACATGGGAATCTCACAGTAGGAATTTGTTTGTTTGTTTGTTTTTTCCGAGACAGGGTCTCTCTGTGTAGCTTTGCGCCTTTCCTGGAACTCACTCTGTAGACCAGGCTAGCCTCGAACTCAAAGAGATCCACCTGCCTCTCTCTGCCTCTCGAGTGCTGGGATTAAAGGTGTGCACCACCACCGCCTGGCTACACAGTAGGAATTTTTGTCCATTTCATTAGCTGATGCATCCCCAGCACCCTGCAGTGCTTCTATGTAGTAGATGCTTCATAAATTCTCATCTTTCCAGTCCCTGAAAGATGTGTCTTACAGTTTCAAGAGTTTGACTGGGTTGGGGATTTAGCTCAGTGGTAGAGTGCAAGGCCCTGGGTTCGATCCTCAGCTCCAAAACAAAAGACTTTTGACTGACTAATCACTAGCACAGGTGTGAAAGGGTGGAGACCAGCAAGTCTGACTAAGAGGCTTGAAAGGACAAGGGTAGCTCCAGGGCGCAAAACCCACGGAGGGTCAAGTTCAGTTCCTCTGACTGCTGTGTCATCCTGGGAGCTCCTAGGAGGCTAAGCAGCGTCACCGTTTCTCTCCGCTCCTCCCTCCTTCCTTCGAGGCATGCTAGGCAAAGACTCCACCAACTGGGCTACATCCCTGATCCCTACCTGAAAACCTCTCCCCTCTCCTCCACTCCCCTCTCTGTGTTATGAAATGTGAGGACAACTTTCAGGAGCCAATCCTCTTCACCTTGACGGTAGGCTCTAGGGTTGGCATTCAAATCAAGCCTGTGCAGCAAGCATTTGCACCGACCAGCTGATCCCTCTCCCCCGCCATTTGTTTTTATTGTACTTTGCTTTATTTCTCTAGAGACAGGGTCTCACTGTGTAGCCCTGGCTGGCCTAGAACTGACTAGGTAGTGCTGACTTGCCCAGGATTTGATATTAGACCAAGCTGACTGCCAGCTCACACAGATCACCCTGCCTCTGCCTCCTAACTCCTGGGATTAACGATCTAACATGCCAGGTTCCCCCACTCCCCCTTGAACATCCCTATCCTCCTGCCTCCACCTCCCAAATACTGGGGTTACAGGAATGCTCCACCACATCCAGCAACCTGCTTTCAACCTGCTTTGCTTTTGTTTCTGGGTTTTGTTTTTTTTGTGTGTGTGTGTTTTTTTTTTTTTTTAAATTCTTGCAGTCCAGAAGAGGGCACCAGATCTCATTACAGATGGCTGTAAGCCACCATGTGGTTGCTGGGAATTGAACTCAGGACCTCCGGAAGAGGAGCCAGTGCTCTTAACCTCTAAGCCATCTCTCCAGCCTGCTTTTGTTTTTGTTATTGTTCATTTTCCTCCAGAAAGACTTAGCCTCAGACTAGATAGGAGCTGATATTTAAGGAGGTAAATACAGTCTACTGCTCAAAAGAAATGGGTTCCATAGCACCACTCCTTAACAGAGGGCTAGCGTACCACAAAGGTGCAGATATCGAAAAGCATCCTGTGCTGGCGAGTTTTATGTCAACTTGACACAAGCTGGAGTCATCTCGGAGGAGGAAAACTCAACTGAGAAGTTGAGTTTTCCATAAGACTGGACTGTAGGCAAGCCTGCACAGCATTTTCCTTAGTTAGTGACCGATGGGGGAGGATCCAGCCTATTATGAGTGGTGCCACATCTGGGCTGGTGTTCCTAGATGCTGTAAGAAAACAGGCTGAGAGCCGGGCGGTGGTGGCGCATGCCTTTAATCCCAGCACTCAGGAGGCAGAGCCAGGAGGATCTCTGTGAGTTCGAGGCCAGCCTGGGCTACCAAGTGAGTTCCAGGAAAGGCACAAAGCTACACAGAGAAACCCTGTCTCAAAAAAACAAAAAACAAAAGAAAGAAAGAAAGAAAAAGAAAGGAAACAGGCTGAGCCAGGTGATGGTGGAGCAAGCTTTTAATCCCAGCATTCGGGAGGCAGAGACCAATTTCTGAGTTCAAGGCCAACCTGGTCTACAGAATGAGTTCCAGGACAGCCAGGGATACACAGAGAAATCCTATCTCGAAAACGCCAAAAAAGAAAAAAGAAGGAACGAAAGCAGGCTGAGCAAGCCATGAGGAGTAAGTCAGTAAGCAGCACTCCTCCATGGGCTCTGCATCAGCTCCTGCCTCCAGGTTCCTGCCTGGTTTGAGTTTCTTCCTTGGCTTCCCTCAGTGAATTGTAATTCAAGATATGTAAGCCAAATAAACTCTTTTCCCCGAGTAGCTTTTTGGTTATGGAGTTTCACATAGTTACAGTTAATTCTAAGTCTGCCACACCCAGGTAAAACACAGCTAAAGAGGAAATAAAAAAGGATCCTGCAGGATTGAGGTTAGAAAGCACTAAAAATAAACAAACAAACAAACAAACAAACAAACAAACAAATAAATAAATAAATAAATAAATAAATCCTGGGCTGGAGAGTTGGCTCAGTAGCTAAGGGCACTTCTTGTTGTGAAAGACCCAGGTTCGATTCCCAGCGACCACATAGAGGCTTACCGCCTTCTCGAGCACCAAGCACACATATGGTGCACAGACGCAGATACATGAAATAATAAAAAAATAAAAAATAAAAAACTTTGCTGTGAAATGCGGCCTAGGGCCCTTTCCCCACGTCCACTCTTAGTATCTCGAGCGTGTCTGCTCCTGCGGCGCCAGAAGGGCGGTTTCGGCGGCTTGGCTTCCCGAAGAACGTAGTCAATCAGAAGTCAGGACTACAAAGCTCCTTCCCAACGCTCCGGCAGAAGGAGAAATGATGGTGTGAGAGTCCAAGGCGACCGTTATACTCACGCAGACGATAAATAGATCACATTTTTGCCTTTCCTTAGCCTCTGCACACAGTCTCGCCCTGCCCCTCCCTGGATCTCCCGGGTGCCTCAGTTCTGTTTGGGCGGATCTAGTTTTCTTCTTCCGGTCGGTGGGTCTGCGAGCCCGACGTCCCAATCGTGGCGCACTTCTGGTCGGTACCAGAGTGCTTTGCGGCAAGATGGCTGCGCCCAGGCGGTACTGCGCTGGCCTAGTTCGGTCTTGGTTGGGGGCCCGGCCGCTGGGCCCGCATGCCGGGAGGGAGTGGGCGACCCCGCCCGGCTCGCTTCTAGGTAACCAGGCGAGGTGCGTGTCCTGTGTCGTGGGCGCCGCTTTCTCTGGTCCCCTCCTGGCCTCGGCCCCTAGTCGTTACGGTCAGGGCTCCGCCTTGGACCGCATCCTTGGATTCCCTCAGCCTGACGACAGTTCCTTAGCTCCCAGGGTCCCCGCCGTGTCGGTGCACAGAGGTAAAGGGCTCCGTCGTGGTGGTTGCGGGTGTTCTGTTTTGTGACAGGTCTCCCCGGGTAGCCCAGTCTGGCTTGGAACTCGGATCTTGCTCCAGCCGCTAGAGTGTTGGGATTATAGGTGTTAACCATAACCAGCTTCTGGTGGTTTTAGCAGTGGTAGGTAGTCCTGTGGCCTGGTTTAAATCCCTCTGTCTCTGGGGATATCACTTTAGCCTCTCTCATTTAATGGAAAATAAATCTGAGTTCAAAGAGCGACGGCTATTAAAGAGTTTGAGAATGAGGGCCAGGGAAATAACTTGGCAAATAAAGGCTCTTGTTGCTTGACAAGCTGAGCAATCCTTGGGACCCGTATGGTGGAAAGAGAGAACCAACTCTAGAAAGTACTATGGCTTACATAAGCTTACGCCAACACAAATAAATAAATACAACAACAACAAGAGTTTAAGAATGTGAAGAAACCTATGTTGGTCACAATCGGTAATAGTCACGAAAGATCATTAGGCAAGACCAAGTTTTCTCCCTGTGTCCCCACATGGCAAGCAGAGTGTAGACCCAATAAATGAGTGTTGAGCCCCATCTACTTGTTAAGACACTATATTGAGTTAGGTGTAGTCATGGTGCATGCTTGTAGTCCCCACACTGGGGAGGTAGAGGCAGGAGGATCTCCAGTTCCAGAAATTTCTTCAGCTGACTGTGGCACCCTACTAATGCCACTATGAAGGTTCTGCAGAGTTTCTCAGTCTCTCCTTACGATACCGTATTGCAGTTAACTGTCTCCTACCAGACTCCAGTCAATGCTACTTGAGAAATAAAGTGCTATTTTTCTTGGAAGGAGACATTGAGACAGAATTTCACTCTAGCCCATGATAACCTGGAACTCACTATCCCCAGACTCCTGCATGCTGGGATTGCAAGTGTGAGCCACCACATCCATTTAATTGTATTTATTTTTTATTTTTTTAAGTTTTTTGAGACAGGGTTTCTCTGTGTAGCTTTGTGGCTTTCCTAGATCTCACTCTGTAGACCAGGCTGGCCTCTAACTCACAGAGATCCGCCTGCCTCTGCCTCCCGAGTGCTGGGATTAAAGGCGTGTGCCACCACTGCCCAACTTGTCTTGTTTTTTGAGAGACAGGATTTCTCTGTGTAACAGCTCTGGCTGTCCTGGATCTTGCTTTGTAGACCAGGTTGTCCCCGAACTCACAGAGATCAACTCTCAAGTGCTGGAATTACAGGTGCGCACCACCACTGCTCGGCTTTATTTCAAGACAGGGTTTCTCTGTGTAGCCCTGGTTGTCCTGGAACTCACTCTCTACAGAGTGACCTCAAACTCACAGAGATCTGCCTCCCAAGTGCTGGGATTGAGAGTGTGTGCCACCACCACTGCCCAGCCATATCCATTTTATAAAGTGCTGCTTCTCCATTGTAATTTAGTGAAGTTGTTTTGTTTTTTGAGACAGGGTCTAGTTATATAGCCCAGGCTGGCCTGGGGCTCAAAAGTAATCTACTCTTGTTTGAGCCTCTCAAGGGTTGTGATTACAAGTGTGTATGTATCACAATGCCCAACCTATGTTGAACAATTTTTTTTACACAGTTGTCATTGTGAAAAAGAAGTTATTTATAGATGTTAATGTGATTCCACATCACATATGAGAAAACCAGGGGGCTTAGAGAGGTTAGATAACCTGAGAAATCAAATAAAATTAAATGCCAAACTAATCTTAAAGTTAGGAATGGGTGGCTGCAGCCTGGTGTACTAATCTTTTATCTTGATTTCCTCCTTGAGTATCAGAGCTGAGTATCTAATAGAGTCTAGATTCCAATATATCATTCCTGTTCCATCCTGACATAGATGAGCAGAATCTGCTGTTGGTCCACACTCCTGACATGCCTGAGAATCCACGGGTCCTCCGAGTGGTCCTCCTGGGAGCCCCAAATGCAGGAAAGTCAACACTCTCCAATCAGCTGCTGGGTCGTAAAGTATGCCACACTTTTATCATCCCAACCCCTACACCTCCCTTTCTACACATTTCACGATTTTATGTGTATGGGTGTTTTGCCTTCATATATGTCTGTGTACTCCTTGTCTGTCCTCTGCCCACAGAGGCCAGAAAGGGGTGTTGGATCCTCTGAAACTGGAGTTACAGACAGTTGTGAGCTGCTGTGTGGGTGCTGGGAATTGAACTCAGGTCCTCTGGAAGAGCATTCAGTTCTGTTAACCACTGAACCATCTCTCCAGTCTCCCTACGACCTTCTTTATCTTTTCGTTTCATTTTTTTTCATTCACGTCTTGCTTTGCCTGGGTGGATGGCCTGGGAGGGATCTAGAATCTCACTGGGACTTCTTTCTTTCTTCCTGGAAGGTGTTTCCTGTCTCCAAGAAGGTGCACACCACTCGATGCCAAGCTCTAGGGGTCATCACAGAGAAGGAGGCCCAGGTGGTAGGTACCTGCAGAAGTTCTGCAGACAGGATAGAGTAAAGCTAAGCTGTTCTCTTACCTTAGCCTTTTAAAAAATGATGGTTCAGCCCAGTGCAGTGGTGGTGGTGACACAGACCTGTAATCACAGCACTCCCAAGGCAGAGGCAGAGTCAGGTGGATCTCTGAGTTCGAGGCCAGTCTGGTCTACAAAGTGAGTTCCAGGATAGCCAGGGCTACACAAAGAAATCCTGTCTCGAAAAACAAAAACAAAACAACAACAACAAAAAAAACCCTAAAGAAATGGAAAAAAAAAGAATGTATAGAGGATACCCCTCACCCCTCCCCACCCCCGCCGTTCTTTTCAAGACAAGGTTTCTCTGTGTAGCTCTGGCTGTCTTGGAGCTCACTCTGTAGACCAGACTAGCCTTGAACTCACAGAGATCCGCCTATCTGCCTGCTGAGTGCTAGGACTAAAGGCACGCGCCACCACTGCCCGGCTAGGACTTCCCTTAAGGCTCCATATAGTTCTCCCTCTCCCTCCCCTCTTTTGCCATCTATTCTGAAGTTATTTATATGTGTGTGGGTGCTCATGTGTTTGTATGGAAGTCAGAGGACAACTTAGGAAGCACTTTCCTTTTTCTATCCTGTAAGTCCTTGGCACCAAAACTGGGTTGTCAGCCTTGGCAGCCTGTGCCTTCACCCACTGAACCATCCCATCCTTTGTGTTTGTGACACTCCCATATAACCCAGGTTGCTCCTCTGTATAGCCAGAGATTACCTTGAATTTATGATCTTCCTGCCCACTCCCTCTTTCAAGTGCTGGGATATAAGAGATACCACCATGCCCAGCTCTGAATCTTTTTTTTCCCTTTCGGAGACAAGGTCTTACCATGTAGCCCTAATTGGCACTGAACTCAATTTGTAGGCTAATCTGCCCTTAAACTTGAAATGATCTTCTTGCCTCTGCCTCCTAAGTGCTGGGATTATAGGAGTGTGACACCTCACCTGACTAAATAAAGCATAATTCAACATTGAACTCTGGTTTTGTGATTTTTATTTTGTGCAGTGCTGGAAATCTAACCCAGGGCTTCCTGGGTCCTACCCAAGCATTCTGCAACGGGCCTCATCTCCCGCATTCATCCTTCATTATCCATGGTCACCTGCTTTCTTTGGGGTCCCATGTAACATTAAGACAATGCCAAAGGGTAAAAAATCTAAAGTCAGCAACAGCTTGCCCATGAAGGAAAGGCAGGATGCAAATATCAAAGATGGCCTTTCTCTAGTAGCGCATACCTTTAATCCCAGCACTTAGGAGGCAGAGGCAGGTGGATCTCTATGAGTTGAAGGCCAGCCTGTTCCACATAGTGAGTTCCAGGACAGCCGGGGCTACACAGTGAGACCCTGGCAAAATAAATAAATAAAAAACCTCTTGTCACTCTGCAGATTCAGTGTTAGAATACTTACTTAATATGAATAAAGCCCAGGGTTGAATACCAGAACCTAAAATTGGGGGCGGGGGCATTCTCTCCACTAATCCATTAAAAAATCTTTTCCTTTTGACCTGTGGGTGTCTCTTCTGATTCTAGATTCTGCTTGACACACCTGGCATCATCAGTCCTGTTAAACAGAAGAGGTATTAGCTGTGGGAGCAGATGTGTGTGTGTTTGGCGGGTGTGTGTGTGTGTGTGTGTGTGTGTGTGTGTGTGTGTGTGTGATAAGAAAGAGGAGGGGCTATTACTTCATAGGAGCTGGGGTTTTTCCCAATTACACCCCATTCCTCATAAGAGTTGATCAGTCATATGACCCTTCCTGACCAATACATTCGTCCTTCAGGCACCATTTGGAGCTGTCTTTGTTGGAAGACCCATGGAAGAGCATGGAATCTGCTGATCTTGGTTAGACTCAAACTAAAAAACTGAAGCCCTATGTACAGAGCCTTTCATTCTTGGGAGTTTGGGAGCTGGGGTCTGGCCAGAAGCCATAGCCTGGAACTTGTTGTGGAACCGGAAGGAGGTCATGGTCTGTTTTTCTGTCTGCCCTGCCGCTTCTAGCTGTGGTTCTTGTGGACGTGTCAGACAAGTGGACCAGGAGCCAGCTAAGCCCCCAGGTGCTGCAGTGTCTGACCCACTTCTCCCAGGTCCCCAGCATCCTCGTCTTAAACAAGGTAAGTGCTGCCCGCCTGAGGACGAGTCTTCCCTCCAAGGTCCCATCTCTCTCACCTTGTCCTTTGCTCCTCCCCCATCTCCAGGTAGATTGCCTGAAGCAGAAGTCAGTTCTCCTGGAGCTGACAGCAGCCCTCACTGAAGGTGTGGTCAATGGCAAGAAACTCAGTATCAAGCAGGCCTTGCACTCACGCCTCGGCGCCCAGAGTCCCAGCCCTGCAGCTAGCGACCCAGATACACACTCAGTGAGGGCCTCGCAGAGAACTGGCTGGCCCTACTTCCAGGAGATCTTCATGTTGTCAGCACTAAACCACAAAGATGTGAACACATTAAAGGTCAGTTAGCCTTGCCACAGCCCAACATTTCTGCCATGTTAAGATAGGCCTCACCCAGACCAGGCTGACTATAAGACTACGATCCTGTCTTTTAAAAGACAAGACAAAAATCTGGCTGTCGTCATTTTACTTGTAATCCTAACACTCGGGAGGCCAAGGCAGAAGGATCAGGAAATCAAGGTCATTTTCAACTACACAGTGAATTCAGGAGGAGCTCAGTTACAATGAGACCATGTCTCTGGAAACCAAAAACAGCCAGCTGTGGTGACACACCCCTGTTATCCCAGTACTCAGGAGGCAGAAGTGGAATGATATTCAGTTTGAGGCCAACTGGTCTCCATTGTGAATTGTAGGCCAGCCAGGCTACATAAGGAGACCAAAAATAAACAGGAATGTATCTCAGTCGATAGAATGGTTGCCTAATGTGTGAGAGGTGCTGGATTCAATCTCTAGTACCACATAAACTCAACATGGTGGTACACACCTCAAATTCTAGCATTTAGGAAGTAGAGACAGGAAGATTGGAAGTTCAAGACCAGCCTGAACAAATTAGGGTGTACAAGGCCAGCTTGATCTGCATGAGATCCTGTCTTTTATAAAGAAGGGGGGGGGCATTAAAGTCAGTATGGTAGCTCACTTGTGTAGTCCCAGGGCTTGTCAGGGTAAAGCAGGATCAGGAGTTCGCCGGCCTTTGCTGTTATATAGCAATTTTAAGGTCAGCTCGGGGCTACACGAGGCCCTGTCCTAATCAAAACGCCTGTTTTCTTCTAGAATTAGGCATAAATAAGGGAGGACCGATGGGGGCTAAGAACCCACTCTTCCTTTGTACCCACAGCAATACCTTCTGGCACAGACCAAGCCTGGACCCTGGGAGTTCCACAGCGGAGTCCTCACCAGCCAGACACCTGAAGAGATCTGTGCCAATAAAATCCGGGAGAAGCTCCTAGAGTACCTGCCTGAGGAGGTGCCCTACGGTGTGCAGCAGGTGTGGACAGTGGAAGGCCCCGGGGCCTGTGTACCAGGCACACTCCTGGATCGGTTGGGTACCACGAGACGGAGAGATGAGCCTGCCTGACTGGTCATGATGTCTCCTTATGCAGAAGACAGTGGTATGGGAGGAAGGACCGAGTGGGGAGCTGGTGATCCAACAGAACCTTCTGGTGCCCAAAGAATCTCACGTGGTAAGTGAGGGAGGCTCAGAGAGGGGCAGCAGCAGCGTTAACTGGGTCCCTTCTCCCATCTGTGAGGCCAGAGCAGAACCCTGTGCCTCTTGCCACCACTGCAGCGGATCCTGATTGGTCAGAAGGGCCTCTTGATCGCCCAGATTGCACAGGAGGTGGGCCGAGACCTCATGGACATCTTCCTCTGTGATGTTCACATCCGCCTCTCTGTGAAACTGCTCAAATGACCATCCTCTGTGCTACTCCCAGGACATTCCTGCTCAAACTGCTGGCAGAGGGACTAAGTAGAGCTACCTCTGTCAGAGGGGGTCTGAGGGCTGCTGAGGGCCGTGGACAGTGGCTGGCTGCGAGCCAGCTGGCCTTGTGTGTGCACGGTGCCTGCCCAGCCATGTTCTCCACTGGAGGAAAGAAGCTGCCGTAGCTCAGTTCTCAGGTAGTTCCTCGGCCTAGGGTCTCGGCTGTGTAGGTCTTAGAAGTCCATCCCCATGGTGGGAATAGGGCCATCCCGCCCCTGCTAGCATTGGACCCAAACTCTTGCCCTGAGTTTCCAGTTGCTGGTAGGAAGAAAAGTTTTCTCTCCATCCCCAAGTTCCTCAACTTTAAGTTACATATGGACCTATGTTTCTTTTTCTTTTTTTTTTTTTCCCTTTGAGACAAGGTTCTTGCCATACAACTCTGGCTGGCTATTACTATATAGACCAGGCTGGCCTCGAACTCACAGAGGTCCACCTGCCTCTGCCTCCTCAGTGCTGGGATTAAAGGCGTGTGCCATCACCACTTGGCTCAACCTGTGTTTCTTAAATGAGATAGTGCCGATCACCTGTTCACCCAAGTTCTTGATCCCTCCCACACCATCCTGCTACCCAACCATGGATGCTAATAAAGTTAAATGACAAGTGTTCTTATTCTTATCTTTATTTCTTTGGAATAGGGAAGAGAAAATGTACCCATTCCCCTGCCCCATTCTCTTGTCAGCCTGGGTCTCTTTCTTCCAGGAGTCTGCACCAGGGTCATGAGCTCTTCTTGGCACAGTTTCTGGGAGCAGCAAGAGAACCGTTACCATTACTAAACTCAGTAATGGTAACGGTTTCCTCGCCATCCCCAAGTGCCACGGCAGTCAGGAGGCTTGATAGGCTGAGCAGTGAGCCCCTCGGGCTTCAACATTCTGCTGCCCTCCCAGGCAGGCTCTAGAGCTGGGGGTACCCAGACTAGTACATCATCTATACTGTAGTGTCTCATCACAAACTTACAGTATATGATGATATCCCAGCCAAGGCCCTGGAGGAGAGAGCTGTGGAATGGAGAGCCAGGGCACTGGGGCGCTGGACACACACACACACACACACACACACACACACACACACACACACACACACCGTATACAGCCTTGCTCCTCTCTCCCTCCCAGAGCACCGTCTCCTTGATTCTGTAGTCAGGGGTAACCCAGGTGGCTTAGAGGAAGAAGCTAAGGTCTACTCAGATCTCTCAGGGATGCAGAGCCGGAAACAAACAGTGAGGCAGAAGGTTCCCTCTGGGCAGACCTGTGAGCAGATGGGCAGCCATTCCAAGGAGTGCTTACCTGGGGCTGAAGCTACAGTCCGGGGAAGCCTCTGGGCAGGGAGAGCCCTGCCTGTGTCTTCCTTCTTGCTCAAGTGGCTTGGCTTTTAACCCTCTGGCTCCTCCCCTGGGTGGGGTGCTTTTCCCGGGTTCTAGAAGGCCCTACTTCTTAACCCTTCCCCTGCTGGCTTCATGAAACCAGTCCCTGGCTCCTTTCCCTTTTTGTTTAACGTGTTGGTTTCTTTGTTACCTGTTTTTTGTTTGTGCTGGGCCTGAAACTTAGGGCCTAATGCATGCTAGCTAAGAACCCTGTCCCTGGAACCACACCTCCACCCTGCCTCCATTCTTCTATTTACTTCTGCTTGTTTGTTTTTCCAGACAGGGTTTCTCTGTGTAACAGCTCTGGCTGTCTTGGAACTCACTTTGTAGATCAGGCTGGCCTCGAACTACTCACAGGGATCCACCTGCCTCTGCCTCCTGAATGCTGGGACTACAGGTGTGCACCACCACTGCCTGGCTGCCTCCATTCTTTAAAATGGGTGACTTTCACCCCCACCCCATGAAGCCAATTACCTACCCACTTCTAGGAGGTAGAAAAACCCTCACCCCATCCATCTGGGCTTAGTTGTTTGTTGGAGCCCTGCTGAAAGGCCTTGTTTTGTTCTGGGTGATGGTTGGGAATGGTCATTGAGTCTGTGTAGGACAGGGAGGGTCCTGGCAGCTGGATCTGTATAGAATCTATCAGGGAGCAAGCTCAGTGGACCTCTCAGCCTAAATTTCCATTCTAGAATTGGTATTTTTGCTGAGCCCAAGAAACTAGAACTAGATGGGCAGAGTCAAAGCTTGTTCACCACTGTTCTGGCAAGGTCCCCTGGGTGAAGGTTACTCTGCTGGGAAACTGAAGAGCACCTGAGTTCCCAGCTCTTGTGAGAGCCAGTGTAAGGGCCTGGGGCTCAGTCCTTCAGAGCCCAAGACACTTAAAATGAGAGCCTGGCACTATTTGGGTCTCTCCCTGTGGGGAAGGGGAGATTTCTGGTGAGACACTCTCTCCACAGCGGAGCCTCTGCCGGAGCCTCTGCCATTTAGACCCTCATTCTGGGGCATGTTCCGCCCCCTTTTCTTATCCTAGACAGTCTGGCCTGTTTCCTCCTTTGCAGGTGCAAGCTGCATTAGGATGGGTGGGGGTGGGGTGGGAGGAAAGACCTAACCTTTTGGTTTTTCAGAGGTGTTCTGTTTCCTGCCAAGGACTAGGCGTGTGGTCTGCCTCCGCTATGCATGGTCTTCCCTCGTCTAGTTAGCACTGTTTTCTCTGCAGGTCTGTAAGTGTTACCTCCTCTGTCTAGTCTTTTGGTAGTGGTGGTGGTGGTTTTGGTTTTGATTTTTGAGACAGGGTCTCTCCATGTAGCCTTGGCTGTCATGGAACTCACTCTGTCCACCAGGCTGGCTTTGAACTTACAGAGATCTGCCTATCTCTGCCTCCTGAGTGCTGGGATTAAAGGCGTGCAAACCATACCTGGCTCCTGTTTTTTTTTGTTGTTGTTGTTTTGGGGGGTTATTTGTTTTTGAGATAAGGTTTCTCTGTGTAACAGCCCTGGCTGTCCTGGAACTCTCTTTGTAGATCAGGCTGCCCTTGAACTCACAGAGATTCCCTATCTCTGCCTCCTGAATGCTGGAATTAAAGGCATGCACCACTACACCCATCTCCTGTTTGTTTTTTGAGGCAGGGTCTCCTTACGTTGTCCTGACTGGCCTGGAACTCAGATCCGCCAGCTTTGCTTCCTGAGTGTTCGGGTTAATCGTGTGCTCTATCGTGCCTTGCTCTTATTATTATCGAAACAGAGTCTCATGTGGCCTTAAATTCCATTTGTAACTGAGGATGACATTGGACTTCTGAGCCCCCTGTCTCTGATTTCTGAGTACAAGGGCTGCAGGCCTTCCTCACTGCCAGGCTTATTCAGTGCTGAGAAACGGGCCCAGAACCTTACGTGTGCAAGCACTGTGACAACTGAACGACATCGCCAATCCTCTACCCCTCTTTTTACTGCCTATTTTAAGTTGCCCAGACTGTCATTTAAGCTCACTGTATAGTTTAGGCAGGCCTTCATTTTTCAATCCTCCTGCCTCAGCCTCCCAAGTCATTGGAATTATAGGCCTTTGCTTCCAGCTCACTTTGATAAAATACTCTAACAGCACCGATGCCAGCCACAAGAGCTGGAGAAAGTTAGTACCCAAGTCTGCTCTGCTCCTTCCCAGAGGAGATCACAGGGAATGAATCTGAACTTCCCCCTCCCTCCCTCCCTCCCTCCCTCTCTCCCTCCTCTTTCATCCTTTCTGTGTGTCCAAGTCTGTCCTAGAATTCCCTATGTAACTTGATCCTGCTTTCGCTTGCTGAATTATAGGTAGGCATCCATCTCCATCCCTGGCTCCCATTCTTGAAAACACTTAGGAACCACCGAGCTTGCCCAGCTTTAGCAGTGACCATCCCAGCTCACTGCATCCGGCTCCGTAACTTAGGACCAAATTCAGCCTCCATTTCCTCAAATCTAAAACGGGAGCTCCCGATGCCCATGTCTGTGGTGACTGTGGACCAGCACCCTGGATGCTGCAGCCTGCTTCCCTCCTCTCCTATGGCTCACTAGCTGTGTGGCTGGTGGTCAGTTGCTCTTCTCTGAGCATCAGGGCTGCTGCATGCTCCACCACGAGGTGAGAATCAAGTGAGAAATACAGAAGTGAGAAGCTGTCACCACTGACGCTCTAGCCAGGTCAGCTCCTGCCTCCCTGTGGCCCTCTTTCCTCTCTTGTAACCCTCCTAAGGCCAACTCTCCTCCAGGACCCACAGATAGCCAAGCTTTACGGAGTGAAAGCTTCCTACATCAGGGCCAAGCTTCATGCCACCCACCACAGTGCTGAGGCCCCGTCTCAGGGTGAACTGGAGAGCAGTGACGGGTCCTGGAAGTAGAGGACAGAGATATCTCTGCCAGCCAGAGATTCTGTGGCTATGGCCTGTAAGTATGGGTGGGGGCTTCTGTGATCAGGGTGTGGAACTAGAACAGAGTCCGGGCCTAGGCGAGATAGCCTGGGCTCCCTGATAAGCTGACCTTACTATCAGAGTAGGGGCCTAGCACCTGCTTATCATGCCTGCAGGGGCCAGAGCGGGGACCGAGGCCACTTTCCCCACCCAAGTCTGTCTTCCCTGATGCCTACTCTTCCATTTCTCTGCCTCCCCAGCTCCCCACAGGGAACTGGAACAGAATCCCTCTCCCTTTCTGGAAGTCACATAATAACCAGCAAGCGTGGGGGTAGGGAAACACCGTGGGAGTGCTTGGGCCTGTCCTCATTCTACCAGCCTTTGCTTCATGTCCTGGAGCTTCTTCCTGAGGCTGCCGTGAGCCAGTCCAGGCCTCTCCTGACAGCCAGCTCTGACCCCTGCCTCTGCAGCCTTAAACTCTACGCTCTTATTCAGATTTGTTCAGAAGCCTTTAGACTAAGCTGGGCATGATGGTGCAGGGCTGTTTCTCCAGCGCTTGAGAGGTAGAGGCAGGAGGGTCAGAAGCTCAAGCTTATCCTCGGCTACATAGCCGGTTTGAAGCCAGAGTAGGCTAAAAACAAGTCAAAGCTGAGCCTGGTAATCTATGCCTGTGTTCCCAGCACTAGGAATGCTGAATCGGGTAGATTGCCACAAGTTCAAGGTCAGAGTGGGATACATAGCTATTTCTAGACCAACCATGGCTGTATAACAAGACCCTGTCCAAGGGTTGGGGATTTAGCTCAGTGGTAGAGCGCTTGCCTAGCAAGCACAAGGCCCTGGGTTCAGTCCTCAGCTCAAAAAAAAAAAAAAAAAAAAACAAGACCCTGTCCAAAAACCAGCATAGCTGCAGTCCTTGGTCTAGGTCTGGGGTACAGATGAGTGGGAGAGAACAGTAGCATGTGCAAGGCCTTCAGTACTGTCTGTTGCACCCAAAATAAACCAATCAGTTAGGCATGGTGGAACATGTCTGTTACCCTAGCACTTGCAAGGTGGAGGCAGGAGGAGCAGGAATTCCAGGCCAGCCTAGGCTACAGGAGACAGTCTCAAAACAAAACAACAAAAATCCAAAAAAACAAAGTAAATAGACTGAGTAAAATTAAGAATGTCAAATCTGGGGTAGAAAGTCTAAGCAGTTAAGAATGTAAGCTGCACAGCCAGGCAGTGGTGGTGCACGCTTTCAATCCCAGCACTCAGGGGGCAGAAGCAGGAGGATCTCTGTGAGTTGGAGGCCAGCCTGATCTACAAAGCGAGTTCTGGGACAGCCAGGACTGTTACACAGAGAAACCCTGTCTCAAAAAAACAAAACAAAAAACAAA